AATTTAGTGGCAAACTATAAGAACATAGTATAGTCTGAAAAGTGACCAGAATATTCCGGCTAATGCAGTTCCTGCCAGTTAGCGATGGCATTTGTTTCTCTTTTTCTGCCATATTTCGATCATAGCGTGATCTCTGTGACAGGTACAGGTATATGATAACACAATTTGAGGAACTTAGATTTGTCCTGACATGAGACTATATCCTCCCCAGAAAAGCTAGTCATTCTTCAAATTGGATATTGTATTGTAATATCTGAGAAATAAGAGTGCAAAAAGAAACAATCTGACATCAGATAACCCAGACACTGAAGTAAAGAAATGAGACTTCATATTAGCTCACTCCATTTGTTCACTACAGCAAATTGCCATGGGTTCAACATGGGCTATGGGACACCAAGAGGCAGAAGAGTGGCTGGTACATTTTCACAAGATTGCAGGTTAGGACTATATTCTTACACAATAATTTTATCTCCTCAGAGCTTTATTATCTAGCTCTCTGCACGCACTGCAGGCCTATGATGCTCCCTCATCATAGGCCTGCAGTGCGTGCAGAGAGCTAGATAATAAAGCTCTGAGGAGATAATATTAGGCTATGCAGGGAGAGAAGAAAGGTTTTGGGTTAGGGTTACAATTAAGTTGAAAGATTCAGTCTTGCTGAAAAAATGTGCTCATTGTCAAAATGTGCTCATTGCCATAAGGGTTTACAAAATCTAAAAAAAAAATAGAAGCATGAGAGACTAAAAAATATCCAAATCTGGAACCCTGCCTAGGCATCCCTACTTTTGTGTCGATAAGCCAATATTTAACTGATAAACAAGAGACAAGATGAACTTTGAAACTACTAACTCATTTGTTTTTGTATTTACTTTACAACCTTCATCCACACGTGCTGCTACTAGCTACATGTGGACTTGTACAGAGATTCTGTTCAAGTCTTAGTGAAACTCCATAAAACAAACTGGTGAAGAAATTCTTGTCCTGCTTACAGCGGCAACCTTGTTCTCACATGTCTCACTGTGAACATGACATAGCCATTGAGGTACAAGGCTGTATGTTCCCAAAAATATATTACTCTTACGATGTTTGCTGGACTTTTGCAACCTTTCTGTATTCTTTAGCCCTTGTTTTAGGGCACTGCATCTCACACCAACTGATTGGAACCATTGCTGCCCCTACAGGAAAAAGGGGATGTTAAACAGGAATACAAAATGAGCTACCTTTTAATGTTACTGTTCAAAAAGGCAACAATTTAAGTGTTGGAAATAGACTTGCTAGTCTGGATTTCCCCCACACAGCTACTTAGGATTATACGACATCAAATATATAGTAGCCCCATTTGCCACATCCAGAACAGAAGAACTGCTTTTTTTTTGCTATAGAGGTAACTACAAGTATGCAACATCCTAGGATCCAAAATCTAAGCATAGAGTAAATTTAAACACAAAGCATATGCCAGGAGCTTGTTAATAATAATTGATTTCTCCACTTTATAAGAGATTTTGAGAAGTTGAAGGAATACAAGTATCTGGTTAACATTTCAATGGGAAACATGGTGTATTTGCACTATGTACA